GTTAAATAAAGAACAAACCTTTATGAAACAAATAAAAGCCAAACATTCCTTCAACCTTGTCCAACTTCAGGACTAAAGTATTGGTCAAGTGCTCCCCTTCAGTCCGCAAAGCCTGCCTTCACATCGAAGGACTGTCTTAACAATCCCTTGGTAGACTGTATCATAAATTTCAATGAATATTGAAGTTTATCCAAGTTTAAGTGTTTGCAATGTGCTAGCAAAAGATGTAACAAAATGGATGCAGTCAGATAAAACTTAATGAAGCAGTGTTAATAAATAGAACTCCTTAAAACACTTTATCAGTTTCAACGGACTTAATCAAAGCTTTGAGAGCACAGCAGAGGATGAACAAAATGGCACCATCATCAAACAGTATTCAGGTCTAAAATTAAAGAATTGGGGGGAGGGGTGCCCATTTCCTACCAGAAGAGTAAATCTACCACTGATCCACTCATCTATTGGAAATAACTCTAACATTGGACACAATTAACACCCATAAGACACCCATAAAATAACACCTAAGGAGTGAAAAAGTCAACTCGGAAATGTTTACATCTGAAAATTGAACACTGAATTGCAGTCTATTACCTGTTTGCTGAATAGGTGACGGACCATAGCAAAAATATCTTTAAACATATTGAAAGAAGACCAATAAAAATGGCCAGTAGAAAAAAAATCAGCTTTCGTTTAAAGGTCACATTTTTCTGTTTCCTCAGTCCATTTTTGTCTAATGTAATAATTAGTTTGATGATAAAAAAAGCAAAAGTAAATACATTTTAAAAAGTGGTGATTCCTTTTTCACAGCACCATAACCCAACTAAATCTAACCATTTAAATCGTAAAAGTTTAAATATGTACTTTTTCTTACTTCTTAGTGTTTCAATTTATACATTGTCTACATTTGTTGAAAATAAATATTTGATTTTGGTTTTAGCTGAGTGTTTTGGCATCCTACTGTAGTATTTAACCTCTCTTAGATGACAATAACAGTTTTTTTAAGACAGGGGGAAAAAAGGATGTCAATCTTAACCATATTTATATTAAAATTTAGCTACAGTTTCCTCCCAAGGTTACAGGAACATTCAGTGACAAACTGAAGAAGAGCAGCAGAGTTTTATCACAACCATAAGAAACAGTGAGATTAAAACCAAAATGTAATTTACTTGAGCTGATGTGTCTGCAGGATGCCATAATCAGGAGGATTTGGATGGGGAGCTGCTTCAATGAGGCTGTCATGGTTGCTGTTCCTCTGTCCTCTATGTGAGAAGGTCTCTCCGTCTGTGCGCTAGCTGCATCGTCTCACTTCTCCTCCCGCCCTTCCTCCTTCCACTGAACAGTGACGCAGCAGTGAGATCACCCTGCATCCTCTGTGGGAGAACACTCCACTCCATCCATTATTCAGTCAGACAGGCTACATTGATGCTGCGCTGCACTGCATTATATCCTGCTGCATTGGTTGTAACAAAAAAAGGCAATTCTGACTTTGGTCAATTCAGTAGGAATGCATGTGCATGTGGACAAAACTGTTACATTAGTCTGTTGCTATTTTTTGCTGGAGTCCTTTTCTGTGAGGTGCTCTGTGGTGTTATCTGAGAGGATCTGGCAGGCAGAAGTAACATGAGCGACCTCCCTTTGTGAGCAGGACAAGAAGAGGGAACTGTTCTCTATTATAAAAGAAAACTAAATAAATCATGTTTATATAAAGAAAATTAGTATTTTAGGCTATAAGAAGGAAAATTGGTGGTATGTTATTAAGAAAACTCATTTGAACCACATATTGCATTTGTATGTCTATCTTTTTTGATGAAAACAAGTTTTAACCACAAATTCCTCTGCACATAATACAGGTAAATGAGTCTAATGTAAGGAAAGAGCACAAGAGCACAGTATTTTATGTCGGTGGTCAATAAAACAGTAATTACAGAGTATTTTAGACACCTGAGTGAAAACTGCATTGACTTAGTTGTATTAAATCAAGATGTATGTTAGATGTTGTAGTGAAAATAATTAGGTCTGAAAGGAAAGATAAATTAAGTTTGTTTGGGCTGGCTCTTGAAGCCCAGACTGAAGCCCAGCTATGTCCAATGTTCATCTTTGATATAAAAAATGCTGCATAAATACTCAATAACCTAAAACTTTAAATTCCCCTAAATTTAGTTATCCACAGATGTCCTTATTTCTTAACCATGCTTGAAATAAGGGAAACAAGAAATAAAATACCTTTAATTTAAAGAAGTGGGGTTCAATCTGCAAACAGCTTCGAAAAATGTGATTTTAATAATGAAGTCCGATCATAAAAATGCTTACAGAACTAGAAATACTGTAAAGTTAACAAAAATTGCTAATAGTTAAAAGTTCTGGCTGAGAATTTAGTATCAATAGCAACAATTTCTGTTCAGCATTTCACATCCTCACCAAGCACACCACAAATTGTGAAGTAGGCTGTATCAAAATATAGAAAAATAAACATTTGCTTATACTTCAGTGTGTGAGCTTTCCTTATATTCATATTGCAGATCCTTAATTAATTTATGGAAATAAATATATACATAGCTGAACAACAATACAGCAATTGTTTTCTCAGAATGGTTTGTTTGCTCAAAATGTATCTATTTTTTTTATTTATTTTTTTTTCATGGATTTTATCTTAGTATTCCTTCTGGGGGAAAAAAGGCTTACATTTATTACATAGCATTTCTATATATATATTTTTTTTATATTATTTTTAATTTATTCTATATATTGTTTTATTTTGTGTGCAATAAGATACAAGCACATTTTTTAAGTTACTTGACGTATATAAAACCAGGGAAGGTCCAGGGAAGAGGTAAATATCTACAATGTAATATAATATATTACAATGTATATAGTAATATATTACATTTCAAAAGGATTTGAAATGTAAGTTGAAAAAGAAAATGGAATAAGGTATTATCTTTTTAAATGTGTGATTAGGAAACTTAATTCAGAGATAGGGTTTGAAAATACAATTATAAATCCCAGCATTTAATAATGGATTAATAAATTCAGTTTACAATTCCTCTTTAATAATTTAATTTAAAATGTGTAATACGAAAATACATTTTAAATTGGATTTCGGATTGCAATTTTTAAATGGCTTCTTCTTTAGGTCCTATATACATGTATCTTTTTTTTTTTACTGCTAGCACCTAGACTGTTTAGAAATAAAGATTATTTTGCAAATCAAAATATAGTTTTTTTTTATTAAAGCAGCAGAGTGGATTGTCCCTTTGGCTGATCCAACCTAAAACCATCTGGTCATTTTCCACTTGATGGTCAGTGTCCTTTATTTCAGAAAATTAGCTTAAAAGACCTAACTTATATACACTATATTACCAAAAGTATTTGCTCACCTGCCTTGACTCACATATGAGCTTAAGTGACATCCCGTTCCTAATCCATAGGGTTCAATATGACGTCGGTCCACCCTTTGCAGCTAGAACAGCTTCAACTCTTCTGGGAAGGCTGTCCACAAGGTTTAGGAGTGTGTTTATGGGAATTTTTGACCATTCTTCCAGAAGCGCATTTGTGAGGTCGCACACTGATGTTGGACGAGAAGGCCTGCCTCTCAGTCTCCGCTCTAATTCATCCCAAAGGTGTTCTATCGGGTTGAGGTCAGGACTCTGTGCAGGCCAGTCAAGTTCATCCACACCAGACTCTGTCATCCATGTCTTTATGGACCTTGCTTTGTGCACTGGTGCACAGTCATGTTGGAAGAGGAAGGGGCCAGCTCCAAACTGTTCCCACAAAGTTGGGAGCATGGAATTGTCCAAAATGTCTTGGTATGCTGAAGCATTCAGAGTTCCTTTCACTGGAACTAAGGGGCCAAGCCCAGCTCCTGAAAAACAACCCCACACCATAATCCCCCCTCCACCAAACTTTACACTTGGCACAATGCAGTCAGACAAGTACCGTTCTCCTGGCAACCGCCAAACCCAGACCCGTCCATCAGATTGCCAGATGGAGAAGCGCGATTCGTCACTCCAGAGAACGCGTCTCCACTGCTCTAGAGTCCAGTGGCGGCGTGCTTTACACCACCGCATCCGACGCTTTGCATTGCACTTGGTGATGTATGGCTTGGATGCAGCTGCTCGACCATGGAAACCCATTCCATGAAGCTCTCTGCGCACTGTTCTTGAGCTAATCTGAAGGCCACATGAAGTTTGGAGGTCTGCAGTGATTGACTCTGCAGAAAGTTGGCGACCTCTTCGCACTATGCGCGTCAGCATCCGCTGACCCCGCTCCGTCAGTTTACGTGGCCTACCACTTCGTGGCTGAGTTGCTGTCGTTCCCAAACACTTCCATTTTCTTATAATACAGCTGACAGTTGACTGTGGAATATTTAGGAGCGAGGAAATTTCACGACTGGATTTGTTGCACAGGTGGCATCCTATCACAGTTCCACGCTGGAATTCACTGAGCTCCTGAGAGCGACCCATTCTTTCACAAATGTTTGTAAAAACAGTCTGCATGCCTAGGTGCTTGAATTTATACACCTGTGGCCATGGAAGTGATTGGAACACCTGATTCCAATAATTTGGATGGGTGAGCAAATACTTTTGGCAATATAGTGTATATATATCTTCATGACGCTCACTCATACCAACACATTTAGACTGGGTGTAACAGAAGCCCGAACTGCTCTAACAATATCTCAATGTGGTTTATGTGTCTCTCTACTCTTCAACAGACTCTGCAGCCTTGATTTCCTATTTAATTTGATCTGTAACCACTGAGCAGATTCAATGTATTGTCTGTGGCTCAGCAGTGTCATCAGAAGGTGACAGCTGTTACTCCCAGATGCGTGTATTTTCCAACCACTTAACTTTCAATTGAAAATGTAAAACCTTCAGTAATGCTTGATTAAGGCACTCTGTAAAAGTGGGGCTTTTCTTCCTCATTTGTGGTTGATCCTTCTTATGGAGGGTGTAAGAGCCTGTTGGAAAAAGTTTATAATTATTTGATCCTTTTGAGCAAAACACAGGCAAAAATACATATTTTATTGCTTTTATGTGATAATTCAGTCTCAGAGAAAGCCATGCCATTTTACTAAAGTACATTTAAAAATAAAACCCTTAGGTACATCTGAATAATATGGAGGACCAGCTCCACCATATTTAAAAATAAAAATGTATTTTTAAATATGTTAGCATTTATTTATGTATTTATTTTTAAACATGGTAGAGCTGTTCCTCCATAGAATAAGGCTTGCTAAAACAAATAATGCTTAGAAATTAAAGGGTATAAAAATGTCCTTTAAACAGCAGCAGAACTAAAGAAACTGAAGCCTGTGTTTCACTGGGGCTGAAGGTGCAGGCTGTTAATGAACACTGTTTGCAGCTCGTTGATATCCTCCGTCGTCTCTATGGGGATGCTGAGTTTACCAGGAGAGCTCAGGAGTCCATCAGACTCGTAGGATTGCTCAAAGCCACATTGGCCAAGTTGGCCGTGGCAGGAGAAGCCGCAGGCTCCCACGGCCCCCTGAGCTTGCTCGCTAATGTCAAGATAGCAATTCTGCGCAGAGAGGTGGTTGTAGTCCTGATGCAACCCCTGATAGAGGTGATGGTGGCGCTCAGGGCCCGGGCTGTGACAGGGGCTCTGAGACGGGCTGTGGGGCATCATGCAGGTCTGCAGGCAGCTGTTCCGTCGCACGGCCTGGTGGAGGTCCAGTCGGGCGATCAGTGGCTTTCCGATGTTGATGCTTTTGGTCCAGCATATGGGAGGATCATCCTCCATGGCTGCAAAGGTGCCCTGAAGACACACGGTGAAAACCAGCTCCTCCTGTAGCAGGAAGGTTTAACAGAGAAACATTAGTTCAAACAGAATCAGTTAAGACTGACTGTGATTATGCAATGAGTACATTTCTGCACTGTGAGATCAATAAAGTGAATAAATCAATAAAAATAAAGGTAGTGTTATTTAGGGTTTCTGAAAGTGTTGATTGTTTTGAATAGTTAAAAAATAATTAAAACTTAAATTTTAGTTGAGGGGAAAAAGCGGTAATGCAAACCAAGCTCAGTGACATTCCACATGCATTAAGGTATGGACATCATGATCTTCAGTTTCCTTCACACAGAAACCCAGTATTTAGGACATGGATGGCTTTGTTATTTTACCAAACAAGTTACAGATAAAATCATTAAGATAAGTTTGAAACAGTCACAAATAATTCCCATCAATCCTTTCTCTTAACTGACAATGAATTATTAAAATTGCTGATGAAGATTCTCAGTCATCCAGGTCATAGTCATTCCGTAAAAGTTTAAAAAACAATCCACTGGACTTGGTTTCCAAGATGTTTGAAGATGTTTCGCTTCCCCTCCTGGAAGCTTTCTCAATTCAAAACTGCCTTGCAGCAAGAAGGTTCTGGGTTTGATTCCCGGCCCGGGGTCTTTCTGCGTGGAGCTCCATGTTCTCCATGAGCATGCATGGGATCTCTCCGGGTACTCCGGCTTTCTCCCACAGTCCAAAAACATGACTGTTAGGTTAATTGGCTTCTCTAGATTCTCCTTAGGTGTGAGTGTGTTAATGGTTGTTTGTCCTGTTTGTCTCTGTGTTGCCCTGCGATGAACTGGTGACCTGTCCAGGGTGTACCCCGCCTCTTGCCCATTGACAGCTGGAGATAGGCACCAGCAACCCTCGCGACCCCAATTGAGACAAGCGTGTAAGATAATGGATGGATGGATCCGCAGTGAGTTTGATATAGACCAGGCCTTGTATTGCTTGGAAACATTAGAACAACAAATTATTAAAATTCTTTGTTTTTTTTTTTTAAGCTGTGGAGTCCTAACCTGACAACAGCCAGATGCATGTCTCGCTCCGCCTAGCTCCACTCACATACATCTGGGACACCGCTCATTGAAAGTGATTTCCACAACCAAATTTATGGTCTGGCCAATCAGGACGCAGGGCGGGTGTGTCCTGCATGTGACGTAGTGGAGAAGCGAGTTCTGTAAGTCGTTCGTCTTTAATTTTTTGGTTGGCTTCTTTTTTTTAAAATAAGTCTGCTGTGCACAATGTTGCCTTTTATCCACACATTTTCATGGCACAAACGACATTGATCATTTACCGACATTGCGCTGATTCCACTGTTGCTATATCCAAGATGTCGGCTGTTCTGTTTTGTTTTTTTCCTGCGTAGCTCTCACAGCGTCACGGGTTAGCTTCGGTGTGAGTGGTTGAAATAGCACGTCGATAAAGATGACAGACAAGTGGCTTATCCAATCATATGCAAGGAGTTTTGATAAGGCCCAGCCTTCAGTAAAGGCAATTCCTATGGCGGTGTCCCAGATGTATGTGAGTGGAGCTAGGCGGAGCGAGACATGCATCTGGCTGTTGTCAGGTTAGTGGAGTCCCCCAACATACAAAAATATTCTAAAAGTGACACTGGAGGTTGTATGAGCATGAACATCATATGAATCCATCTTAAGGTCATTTCAATGAATTTGAATCCAAATTTTACTCCATTTTTTGACTCGGCCCACTTTAAAACCTTTACTTTCAGAGGAAGCCTTCTTGGATGAGAACACCAAAGTGCACTTTGTGTCACCAACTCGTGGCCAAACATGCTGGTAGTGAGCAGATATTATTGCTTCTATCGATCACAGCAAATTTCGCACACCAAAGCAGGAATGAAGCTCTTAATCAGAAATGTTTACTATTGTCCTATCAGTCTACCGAGCATTTTCCTTTACTATGGGACCAGCCAGATGTTTCTTGGCAAATGTTAGAATCTATGATTTTCAATTTTCTATTAATAGTTACTAGAATTGAAAGCAAATATCTAACAGATGTCAATAAATTAATTTTAGTGCAGCAAAAAAAGTGTTTATCCTTCTAAATAAATTGAAGGGTTATTTAAGGTAATTTACCCTGAGCTTCTGCAGCGAGCTGAGTCTGGTGTAGAGGCAGTGCTGTGGCAGGCTGCTGGACAGCAAGTAGATCCCAGTCTCTTCTGGAGTCTCTCTGTTCATTTCCTTTGGATCCACATCAAGGTCCTGCAGTAAGAACAGAAGAATTTCACCCTTTAACTCAAAATATTGCAATATATCTTTAAGAAGTTGTCCTCATGAGACAGAAAACAGCTCGCAGACCGGAGAAAAGTCCGTGACGTGAGCCTGGCAGAAGGACATGTCCTCAGGCTTCTTAATGATGTGAGTGTAAATGACGAGCACGTTGGAAAACTCTGCAGCAAAGCCCAGCTTGATCTGAGCCCCGCAGTCAAAGTTGAGGCACATGCTTTCAGGAAGCTCTGAAACAAAAAGACAGACTTACATCAAAAACTGACTTTAAACCCAACTAGCTTAATGTTCAGTGTATCATTTTATTTCTACTGGTATAGAAGAGTTTTAAGGAATTATGGAGACTAGTAGTCATAAAAGAGAACACCTTTAACAAAATTTCTACTTAAATACCATTCCCTCAAAGACTTCATATTGAGTTTAATTTATTCCTTGAGTTTGTGATGCCAGTTAAGTCAAGATTACTTATTAGATATAAAAAATAATGACCAGTCATCAAAGTAAAACAACCTCTACTACAAGATATGATTACCTGAACTCTATTAGCACCATGGGAAAAGGAGAATTTTGTGGAAAATTACTTTAAATTAGGAATGCAACTAACGATTATTTTGCAAATTCATTAATCTGTCGATTATTTTTTAATCAATGTTAACCGGATGGCCAAAAATTCTTTTAAGAAGATTTTCTACAAAATAAACCAGGTGAAACTAAAACTTTTCCACTTGAGGAGTTCTGGATATCTTATCATCTTAAATGCAAAAAGTTTACACATTTTTATAGAATTATTTTTATATAATAATTACTGCTCTAACTGGGTTGCTCTGTCAGCTAAAGGCATGTTTTAGAGTCTCTATACTCCAGTTAATAATTAATCGATTACTAAATTAGTTGATGATTAATCACAATTAATCAAAATAACTGTTTCTGCCCTACTTTAAATAATAAGTTGTAGCAAATAATAAAAAAAAACAACCCTAAGAGGATTAAAAACTGATTAATGGTTGGTATAAAAAGCTGAGAAACAAACAACTCCTCTAAACAGTTGGGGAGTAAAAGAATCACATTTCCAACCCCCCCCCCCCCCCCAAATTGATGACAACTATTGATGATCCCACTAGGCGAGTCATGCCGATCCACAATGTATGACGTTAAGGCTTGATTGATGAATAAATGATCAGAAACGTTCCCAAAACTTACCGTGAGCCTTTGCCCACTGGTGGCTGTGTGCGTGAACAACATCTGGGCTGTCGCCGGGCAGAATAGGATCGGTCAATGCTCTCCTCTCTGATAAGCTGCTGCGGATCTCCAGAGCCTGCTTACCCTTCGTCGCATCAAACTGACCCATGTCTGGACCCAAAAACATCCCATGTCAGCGATTCAGAAATTACTTCACAGGGAAACAGCAACAGCATTCCTATGGAATTTTTCTTGGTTCTAAAGTAAACCACACAAGTGTATAAATCCTGCTTATATAACGATGTGAGAAAACCCACCGTTTATCAGTTAGTAAACACCCCACATTAACTTGATCCTTCTGTTTGGTACAGATTCCTTCTTTTTCTCACCTTCTGCCACTCTGTCAAGCACCACTGTGATCTTCTCGTCATCCAGCAGCCGCTTCTTTAAAAACTTGACAAATACGCCATTGGTGAAACCTGTGGAGCTTAGCTCAAACGCCTCTGCATCCTGGCACCTGCAACCCCACGCAAAGAATGAATGATTTCAAAACTTATTAGGCGAACAAAAAGAAAAACACTAATCAAATTGGCTTCAAATGCTTACGTTGCATATCCAAAGACAATGTTGGCCGTCACTCTCAGGACGATGTTTGGGGTGCTTTCATCGTGGATATTCCTGGGAAATAAATGAATCAATAAAGAGACAAATTATACAGCTGAAATGATGCATTAACTGTGTGAGCTGCAAATATTTTAAATATTAGGATGTTTAATGGCATCTGTGACACTGGTAGCAGTATTAGGGTCACTTTGGAGAAAGAAACTGTTGAGAAAGAGCAAAAACACTAAAGTCAAAACCTCTGAGATCAAGTCGCTCAGTCATTATCATTAAACAAAATCAACCCTACAGCATAGAAACATTACTGCTGGGCCTTCTGTCGACTAGCTTGTAACTTACTGTCCTTTAAAATAGGTTTGAATACCTTATTTTCAGCACTATAAGGAGCACCTAAAAGCCTTCTGTATTCTCAAAAAACCTTACGATCCAGTGCACCCTATATATGGATCAAGATTAAGCTTCAACAGGTCTCGCAACTACAGGGAGCAGCCGCCGACTCCGTTTTCTCCAGTAGAATAAGTAGAAAATGGTGCAAATTGGGAATTTTTTCTGTTAAGACCCCACAATGGCTCCTTCCAAGAGACACGTGTACGACGCAGAGTTTAAACTCAATGCTTTCAGTAATGCAGTAAAATAGAGCAGCAGGTAGAGAATTAAACATTAATGAATCAATGGTGTGGAAGGGGAGGAGGAAGGCAGGAATTGTGACTGAATTGCCAGAAAACACAGCGACATTGACTCAAATAATGACGACCGGGCATGTTTTATCCCGTATTAGCCCAACTGTTCAATTTGGAGAAATTAAATGATAAAATTAAATGTACATGTTTTTTTTTTGTGTGTGTGTGTTTACAGCTGAAGAAGGTTGGTCATATTGTAAATAATATATTAATAAAGTTTGACTTTCTTATCTGACTGTTTTATTGATATTTTCTTTTGCACAGCTGCATTATGCACCTTATATATGAAAAAAATATTCAAATAGGTAATTCATTGAAGGTGTGCCTCATAGTGTGGAAAATACGGTAACAAACTGCTGTGAGTTATGGTATGGACAACCCTGAGAATCTTCAGTCAGAGGCTTTTCAGAGGAGCTCAAATACAGACAAGGGCTGTTGTGATGCAAAGTTTTAATTTCCTGTATGATACCAATATTGATCTGAAACCATAGCAGCATGACTCATACATATTTTTATTGCTTATTTTGTAGTGTTGCATTACAGAAATGGCTTGATCAATTAATATTTCTAACATAGAGAACAATAATCAACAACATCACGTATGAGAACAACTTATCCGTCTAATATTAACCAGTCTAACATAAATTTACTTAAATGTCGGATTATTAGTTCTTACACAGACCCACGTTGGTTTGATAGCTTTCTTCTCTTTATATAGTAAATAATCATTATAAAGCTGGATTTAACACTTTTAGTTTATGTTTGCTTTTAAATGTTTATTATTTATATTATGCGAAAGTGCCTTTTAACAAAAAGATAAACTCATGGATTCATTAACATGATGCATCGAGTGGGTATTTATCCATCTATGGAAACCCATCAGATTGCTTCATGTCATTGACATGTAAATAAAACCCAGTCGATGTAGTATATGTTTTAAAAGCAAGAATCACCTTTTCCTGCACATATCCAGCAGAAAAACATTCAGGCCCGTCTCCTTCTCCTGCATCAGCTTTAGGATGCTCTGCACACACAAGCAGTTGGCTGAGTGGTACGGGTTTGGCGCGTCCACCGGCACCATGAAGCTGTTTCCATAGTTCTCGTATCCGTGGCCGGCGTAGTACAGCAGACCTGAAGACGGACAGGCTGGGGTTTAGTCAGCTTTCCTAGAAACACAATCTCAAGGTTCTTTAGCTCTTCATACTTGTTTACATTAAGTAATCAGTTCTAAAACGGTTGCTCCACCTATTGCTTTACAGTTTTATATCTTGTAACATATTAAAAAAAGCACAAAAATCAAGTTTTCTACATTTCAATCTTCCACGTCAGAAAACCAGAGCACAAAAATTCAGAGCGCACCATAAACTCCCTTATGTAGCAGCAGCAGGAACTCGTCCACAGCGTTTCTCATCTCCGACTCTGTGAGGTCCAGCAGGGAGACCACTTTGAAGTTCAGCTGTCGCAGCAAATTGGTGAGGTCGTACACATCCACCATGGGCGCCTTGAGCTGCGGGTGGTTCTGGTACGATAGATTACCGATCAACAGGGCCACTTTGTCAGTCGCTGGGGTGGAAGCAGATAAAACAAGGTTAACATAAGCCATTCATATTTAAATACGTAACGGTCCAACTCTACAGGAAGTCTTCCTTTATTCCCCTCTCCATATTCCCTTCTATTATGTATCTGCATATTCAAATCAGACATGGACGTTACTGTCTATGTCTTTACCACCGTATTATAAAATGACATCCAGCTCAACAGAGAAGTTTCCAGAAATGTTAATGTGAATTTGCATCCGGTAACAGCTCGCACTGCTACTAGTACATGTTAAGGGACCTCTCTTATTTTGTTTTTTTTGTTTTTTTTGTCTGCAACATTATTCATTTATGTGGTTTGAAACAATGTATCAGATTAATTGTGATTAATCGATTATTGAATTTAATACTCGATTTATTGTTGACTGGAGTAGCAACATTGTGTAAAAAAAAAAAACATTTTGCATTTAAGATTTAAGAAAAAATTTGTCTGTCAATACGCTCTATCAAGACCTCCTCAAGTGTAAAAGTTTGAGTTTCATCTGGTTTAATTTTGTATAAAGTCTTCTTTAAGAAACTTTTTCTTAACGATTATAAATCGAAAAACAAAATCAACAGATTAATGGATTCACAAAACAATCATTAATTGCAGCCCTACTTTAAACAATGAAAAAATATCAAAACATAGGCAATGACAGAAGAAGAAAACTAGTGGAAATAATACAGAAATTAAAAAGAAAATCATCTTGCGCCATTTGATATAAAATACAACACATTAATTATGTCTGCTATGAATAGACAAAACCTTTCTCATGTTCTCCCCTGGGCAAAAAAATCTAGGTTGATTCGGTTTTCAGAGTAGTGAAAAAATACCTTTGTTTTTAAGTGAACACTTATCATAAATACAGAACAGTAAAGCGCTCCTATTAAACTGTGCATCAATCCATCCATGCAAATATCAAGCCAATTAACCAAACATGCATGTGTGGATGGCTGGAAAAAAGAGAAGAATTTGCAGAATTTGGTTCCAGCTACTGTGCATCCCTGCTATATGTAAGAGTTCTTATTCAGATATTAGTTTATGCAGATCTCATCGAGACTGTTTAGATTCAGTGATTGTTGTCTTTTTTCTCAGACTTCTAGATTTGAAGATCAAGCAACAAAAACTATCTAAACAACACTGACGTGAAGTTTTTCTTTCTTTTCAACTTGTTCAAACAAGAATGCACATGCTCTGCTTTGAATGTGTCAAGGTTAATAGAGTTTAGATAGAGAGAGAAAGACAGAGAAAGTCTCTGTGGAAAAAGAGAAACCCTCTCAGCTGGAATAACCTGCAATGGCCTTGCAAACTACCAGAAATGTGTATTTTTAAGCTGTTAAAATCTGAAATCAGTGCATGAAAGCTTCTTAATCATCAAGTAGGACGAGCAAACGCCTCCAGAAACACTTTCACCTCTATACTATAATTATATTCCAGCTGTGTTTTATTGGTTTGCAAATATTCTACAAGAAGCATGTTAGAGACAAGCATAGGCTACAGGTGTAAAAGATGACACAGTGGGAGTCTTCAAGTATGTTAGAAATTACTTGTGCTAATGAACATGCCCACCGACAGGGGGGACAAATGCATCAATTGTCCAAAGCCCAGGACATAGGGGAGCCCAAGTCTGACCATGAAAAATATATATTAATTACAGAAAGGCCTTTTCTAAACCTAAAATTATCTGTAGATCCAGGGTTGGATAATATGGTTTATTGTAATTTATAATGTTAAAAAACAAACTGAAAGAACAGACTCAGTTTTTGACACTTCAGTTTAAAAGCTTGGACAAAGAACATAATCGTCAACTAATTAAATAATCAATTAATCGTTAACTGGAGTACAGAGATTCTAAAATATGCCTTTAGCTGACAGAGCAACCCACTTAGGGCAGTAATTATGCCAAGGTTGTATCGAAATATATAAACATTCTGCATTTAAGATTAAAAAAAATATTTTTTGTCAGTCAATATGCTCTAACCAGAACTCCTCAAATGGAAAACATTTAGTTTCACATGGTTTAACTTCATAACAAGTCTTCTTTAAGGACACTTTGGCTATCTGATTATTAATCGATTAATCGAAAAATAATGGACAGATTAATTGAGGCGCAAAATAATCATTAGTTGTAGCCCTAGTTAAAATGACAGGGAGCATTCCTCCCCATCCAGGATAAGAACATCTTCCCTGAAAGAGTGACTGTAGATAAGTGAATATTTTTCTGATGGTGCTCTTCCATGCTGAGCCATACGTTTGGCCGGTGGCTGCTTTGTTTCCCAGATGTATTACCAGGGAAGAACTGTATCTTTAGCGTGAACCTGTCCTTGCCATAATGTGTTTTGAGGTTAAAAAGCCAATGGAATGTCACAATTAGAAAATAAATGCCTCAGTTTCTCCGAAACATATGTAATGACCACTGGTCTGGTTCTTGTTTTGGTTCCTCCTTTTTCAGGTGTCGACTGACTGGGGTCCTGTTTGGGTTTCAGGTCTGCTTTGAGGAAAGCCCAGTTAGAATAACCGCACTGTTCTATAGCCTGTCTTTTATGCGAGTTCTGCTTCTCCCTGGATCCTTTGACTGAGTCCTGATGACTCCCAACTTTCTGCTCCACTAAGTAATGGGAATCACGTACTACTGGTTTGTGTCAGCAGGTTTGTGCTACCTATCTGAGACCGAGACATCACAGTCTGGGAAAGCCAAGCTGCCATTTGTTAACATCCTGTAGTGTAAGCGTTATATATTTTCATATTTAAATGCATCTACAGAGTTTATGTGTAAATGTTGGACCTACAGAGATTTATTTCCTAATCAAGGATCAATTGCTTGAAGGTGTCCCTGAGAAGGATTCTAAAGCACTCTATTTTACCTCTTCCATGTATCTGGATTGAAGAGATGAATAAGGATATGATCTTCCAGTGTTAAAGCATTATATTCTGGACACCCTAGCAAGTTAGTTCTAGCCTACCTTTATATGTTTTTTTTTAGCCCAAGTAGCCTTTATTTGAAAGCATGCTGAGAGTAAATAAAGATTTAGGGATGGGAGCTAAATATATGTGACAGCCACGCCAAAGACTAGGGCCTCCCCTCAGGAGCTTTAACCCTGCAGCACCACCACGCCCTTACCTTTCTTTACATGCCCTCTGACAGGAGGGCTCTATGCAATAATTAGTTGATTTCTGGGTAAATGGTTGGACTGCACTTCAATTAGAGTAAAGGAGATTACTACTTTTTTTCAGATTTTTGTTTTAAAAAGTGTCAAATCCATGATCCCCCCCTACAATCTTGTATTCACTCTGTGGGCATACTATATATAATACTATATGGCTAAAGGTAGTCAGTGTGCTGTTTTGTGACATGGTGTGTACCACACTCAACATGAACCAGAGGGAGCAAAGGAAAGAGTTGTTTCAGGGGATTAGAAATAATTTATAAACAAATATGTCAAAGGTAAAAGCCATAGAACTATCTCCAAGAAGTTTGAAGTTCCTTTGACTACAGTTGCACATATTATTCAGAAATCTAGTATCAAAGGGATTATAGCTAAAACTGATGACTGATCAAAGAGATGGATAATATAAATGGTAACAAAAGAGCCCAGACATTTTTTAAAGAGATTAAAGTTGAATTTCAAGCACAATGAACATCAGCGTCGGATCACAACATCTGTCTTTTGAGCAAATTGGACTTAATGAGAGACAACCAAGCAGGACATCATTGTTCAAAACAAAATCCTAAAATAGCTGGCATGCTTAAACTCCTTTCAAAGATGCTCAATCATATTTAGGTCAGGGCTCATACAGTAGATGGCCTCTTAATGTCTCGTTTTCTTCGTAGCCATTCTTGGGTTTTTCTAGCGATGTGTTTTGGGTCGTTATCCTGTTAAAGACCCATGACCTGTGCCTGAGACCAAGCTTTCTAACACTGGACAGCCCATTTCTCTCTAGTTGCTCAACAGTCTTGAGATTTCATTAAACCCTGCAGAGATTCGGACATCCTGTGCCAGATGAAGCAAGCAACCCCAGAGAATAACAGAGCCTTCTCCATGTTTCACAGTAGGGACGATGTTCTTTTCTTTATATGCTTAATTTTTCTGTCTGTGATCTAAAAGCTAATGTCCATTAGCAAGAAGTTGATTTGTGTCTAATCTGTCCATAGGAGGATTCTCCCACAAGATTTGTGGCTTATCAACATGTAGATTGGCTAATCTACATGTTGATAAGCCTCAAAAGTATCTGCCTCAAATATTTAGGAGACAAAATATTAAATTAAGGTTACCATCATTTTTGTCCAGTTTCATTAGTTTTTTTTTTATTTATTTTATTTGCTCATTTTCATAGAACTTTTATTACTTTTGTCAGAATAAAGTTATTCCTGAGACCATTTTGGGTTTTTCTTTCATTAAAAGAAGGGTACCAACTCCAGCTTTTTCTGTATGTCCAGGACCATGTAAGGTTACTGGATCGCTATTGCTGTAATGGACTGGTGATGTCACAGAAACTATTTAGGTCTGGTCCACCATCAAAATTCTTCTTTAGCTTGATTAGTTTCACGTAATGATTCATAACTTTTTATATTAGTACACAGAGAATAAGTGGAATATTAATATCACTGAAATTGCGGGATATGACATGAGTGATGCATCACGAATACTGAAGAAATTTGATAACAGCCCTCATTACAAAAACAAACCTAGAGGAAGGAAGCACATGATGATACTGACATTTGTAGCTCTTTGATGTTATTCTGCACATTAGCCACTTCTGAGAAATGAGTTTTCTTTGCTGCTAACATTTTTTTTCCTAAGTTCAACTGAAGTTGGGTTCATTCTGTTTTTAACGTAAACTTATATCAGTTACAACAAAGACTCCACTGATTTATAAATCTACAACATACAAAGAATTTCTAGACAAAACAAGCAGAACTACACAAGAACATTTTAAGAAACACTCACCATACAGTTGTTCGGGCAAACTGTTTAGGAAAAGCTCACAGGAACCTACGTTTTAAAAAAGAGAACAATAGAAATAAGAAAAGTTGAAAAATAATAGAAAAATCTCGACAAAGTTTTAATCGTCTTACCTCCTCCAATGGCATAAATGTCATCTAGAAACAAAAAAAAACAAGAAGGGATTAAAACCAGATAAATTCTGTTATTTTCTATGCTTTAAAATACATAATCAGGCTGAAAATAACTGATAAGGAATCAAATGAGTCAAGAGGATCTTCATGCAATACAGGAAAGGGAGCAGAAGGACCTTTAAAAAGACAGATTGTTTTTAAAAGAAATTTATTGACACAAATTCCATGAAAGCTTAAATTCAATATAACCTATTTATCTGTATGATTCCAATAATATTTCAAGAAGTTGTAAATACGTTTCACACCAGCATGGGGAGGGATTTCTGAAGAAAAAAATGCTCATAATTCACCAATAACTAAATTTTTTTTGCCAGTTTTCAGCTGCATCATAAATCTATACCCTCTCATTTAGTTAGCTCTTTTTAATTGTTAAAAAGCATAGAAAAAGTATAAATCAGATTACAAAAGTGTGGACTTTGACTTGATGATCCCTGACAAGTCATTTTTACCCCGTATGTGAAAATCGACTCGATACTTGACATTAAATGTAACTTGGAAAGTAATGACCTCTGCAAAATGGGGCTCCCTCCAGCTTCCAAGTACCACATATTATGCGTCTTTCTTTTTGTCTTATTTTTCATTGTATCTGTGCACTCATATTTAAATTAACAAATAAAAACATTAATATTTTCAACTTGTAATTGCCCTTATTGAGCTTACAAATATGTTTTTGTTTTGCAGAGGATTAGAGCTGTGATTAGTCCTGCTCTTTTAAAATGGATAATGAGACAGTAAAACTATATCTTCTTTCAATCAGACCAAACTATAGACCTTAAAAATTTATTTTCTCCCTAAAAGCCTCAATAAATTTTTACCTTTAAGCAAGACATCAACTAAAAACACTCTCTACCCAAAAAGAAGCCAGCTAAACAGGATGCAAGGCAATACACTATACCTATAATAAATATCAAAATTCTTACAAGTTTTCTATTTTCAAACTTAATGCTTTTACAGAATAATGATTTTAGATTTTTAGTTTGAACATTTAAGTACAAGGCTGCCTTCTTGGATTTCATCATCTGCATTTTCAATATTCAATTAAATTCAGTTCAGTTTATTTATATTTTGTATTATTTTTACACAATTCCACTCCACAGACAACTCAACCAGATCATACAGTCAGTTTGGTTCAAATACTCCATTCCAAAACAATCCTAGATCAGGTTAATGTAATAAGAGATTTAGTCTTTTCATGGGATTCGTTGATAACAGAAAAAATCATCACCCAACTGTGTTAAATAGATATCATGTTTTATACGTAAATCCAAATGCATGCAAATTAAGTTCAAAAGGAACAACTAAAAAGAAAGGTTAGTATCCACAAGATGACAGTGCAGACTAATACCCACATGCAAAGTAGGGGAACACATTAGTGTTTTAAACATGGCTAATGTTAATGTCAGACGTTTTTATGCACCATGTACCCTGTTTTCCACTCTACCTTCAGAGCACTCCATTGCCCCTGAAATCTGGACAGATATTCTTGGTGCTTTCAGTCAAGAACAAAAGTAAACAGAATCTGAGATATCACCAATTAAGAGCTACGTCATAAAGTGTCTAAATGTTTCCTTATGTTAACATACCTATCACAACATCAACCTCATTGGTCCAGATTCTTTCCGTGCTGCTGCTGATCTCACAGCGATACCTGCCGTGATGATCCTGCATCACTTGCGGGATCTGAAAAGGCAGATGTTTAGTTTTGTTATGCAGAACTGATTTCTGAGAGCAGCGGCGAGAATGCAGAAGAGAGAAAAGAAATATCACCGTGAGTTTTCTCTTCGTGGCTTTTGGGATAGGGACTCCATTCCTGTGCCACTGGTATCGAGGGATCGGCCGGCCCACAGCACCACATTCCAGCTGCAGGTCTTCTCCAACGCGCAGTCGCTGGGACTGAGGCTGGATTGATAACTTTAGCCGCCCATCTATAGACTGATAACTCTGCCCTGGGGATGTTGGAGGAAAAATACATCATTTGGTGCATCTAATTACAATTAACAGGATTTTACTGTAATATGGGAAAAAAAATAAGAATATCACAATGAAAATCCTCAAAGATCATTCTATATCTTACCATAAGACATGGCAACATTAAGGACATCCACCTGAGCCCATTGGCTGAATTCACAACTATCACCACAGTTCACCCTGCAGATGTAAAAGCCCGCGTCCTTCAGTTGGACCGGACTTATCAGAAGCTCTGGAGATGAGCTGTTTGGTACCTGAAGTGAGGAAAAGGAAAATCATTTATTTGGAAACATGTTTCAAATGTTGACTTCATTTTTTCTCTTCTACGAATGAGTGCAAGTAGAGACCCAGACAGCTGTGACTTAAATGCTTCTATAGAACTCCATAAGGTCCATTATGGCGGGACTTCACTGTTAGTGCTGCGAGGATAAAGGGCGAAATTCCAGTTTGCATTGATCGATCTGCACACTTGCTACAACTTTCTTTCCTTCTGTGTGACTGCAAACCCACTTCAAGCATATCACTGCCACCTACAGGGCTGGAGTGCGAATGATAGTCTTACTACTTAAAGTGATCAAAAATCTAGTGCCTGTGTGATCTAAAACTTGTGCAAATCCAGATGCAGTTAATTAGCAATTACCGTAAAACACATCAACAAATCTACGACAGAAAAAGCTGAAAAAGATCAAAGGTATCAAAGACCGGACCAGTCAAAGCTGAGACTCCAACCTGATTAAAATGCTGTGGTAAGATCTTTGGGAGATGTGCAGAAACCTCAACAAACTGAAACAAATAAGAGCAAACCAAAGCTCCTCCACAATAAAGGAAATTCCAACAAGCTACATAATCACAGGGTTTACTTAGGTTTTCCAGCTGTGCATACGCCCTTAATGTAATCTAAGGATTAACTCTGTCTAAAGACCAAAGAAAGGAAAACCTTAATCCTATTACCTTTTATGGTTACTAAATAACCCAGTCAAAGCAAGCCCAAGACCCCCCATAAAAATGCTGTGGACCTCAAAAGAGCAGGGAAGTAACAAATATGAAAAATGTGTTAAAAAGTGGGTTGAAAATTTCTCCAAAACAATGTGACTGACAAATAAATCTAACAGCAGGTGGCCACAACATGTTGCTGCTGCTCAAATGGTTCAAACTACTGAGTCAAACTGTTTAATTACTGTTTGTAATTACATATTTCCATTTTAACTTAGTCTTTGTATACAAATAAGATATTTTGGAATTTGTATTTTAACCTTTATCTAAACTATTTTTGTTGGTAGTTCAACACATCTGGAGAAATTCATATTAAGTTAAGTTGTTTGTTTAGTGCTAGGAAATGAAAGGGAGATCAAGCCCAAGCCTGTTTGTTATTTCACATATGAGCAGTGACTCACTGCAAAATTTAACCAACGCTGCCTTTTGACAATCAACAGTATGTCTCAGGGATAACAATGCAAAGATGGATCTATTGAGAAAAGTTTTAAATAAGAATAGTTAAAATAAGATAAAACAAAGTTATGGTTAAAAAATACAAGTCAAAAGAGAATTCTCAGTTAATATCTCATCAAAGGTTTTATTTTGGTGTAAATATAGTTGCACAATATGTGACAAATATCCAGAGCAGAGAAAATGTGCATTTATCGTCTATATAAAGTTCACTAAACAAAATCTAAAGCAACCACAAAGCATCACATATAAGAAAGTAGGATGCCATTGCTTAAAATGCTGCAGCAGTATCAGTAATATTTTACCTACAACTCCTTATATTGATAGCTTTTACATAATATCAACACCATACTTTTTTTTAGAATCAGTTTCCTATTCACTAAACATATGAGGTGTATGAAGGATAATTATAGAATTTCTGAATATGGAGGAGCGGCGCCAGTGTGCAGAACCTGAATGCATGGCTCTACAGGACTATAGGTGCATCCAGATGTTATGCAAGATTTGCATACAAGGGTTGACATTTCAAAGCAAACTAATTTGTTCACTTTTGGGAAATTATTGTTAAGTTATAACATATAAACTCAGAGCTATCATCTGCAGTGTAACACTTTAGTTGTCTTTGTGTGAGTGATACAAAGGTGGAAAGGAGCTGAGAGAACTAATAGATATAGACCACTGAATGGTATGAGCTCATTTTTGAACAATCAGATAATTTCAGCACCAACCAAGGATAGTCCCTCATAACTTCCCTCAACTTTTGCTTGTTTAGAAGAGCTGCACAGAAACAGCCCCCTACTTTCCTAAAATAATGTGGAAAGACAATTTAGTTTGCATAACTTCATTCAAATGCTCCATGACAAATCAGGAAAAATGTCATGTAGAGTGGGCACAGTGGAGGAGGGGTGATGATTTGGGCTCGCTTTGTAGCCACTGGTGGGAGGAACCACGAATGAACTAAGAATATCAGTCTTGTAGAATCAAATCTGTCTGACAGTTCAAAGTCGGACCAACAGGTTTCCTACAGCATAAAGCAAGTTATATACAAGCCTTTTTAATGTCACTTGAAATAAAAAGTTAAGGCAAGTTCCCAATAAACACATAAACAACATAAATCATTACTCTCTGGCCCAGTAGAAATGTTATAGATTTTATAAAACTTTCCATATTGGAAAAAGCTAATAATACACAAATAACAGATATATTTCTAACAACTACTGAGCTTTGTTTTGTTCCCTACTCAAAGTCCACACCCCAAGGTCCGGCCACAAAATAGTTTTATTCGTTCCTCTATCTGGAAGGAACGAGGTGGTTCCAGAGAGCCGTTAGGTAAATGTTTAAAAAAATATTGTCAATAATTTCAATGTTTGATATGGATTAAAAAAATAAAATCCTATTTATGACGCGGTAACAATCTCATGACGTATTTAAGACTGATTTAGGACATTTTAATAACAATGAAGGCCTTAGTTTTATACTGAGAAATTAAACTCCTTTTAAGACTTTTTAAGTATCCGTGAGAACCCTTAAAATACTGTGTGACCAACTTTCCTTGATAAATGACTCCTTTTTTAAAACAAAGATAACAGGAATACCAACTTCTAATGAGAATTCCTCAACTTCCCTTCAACACATGTCTCTTACCTCACAGTCAACTGGGATGGTAGCTTCCCTCCATGTTTGTTTCCACTCACCTCTTCCCTTGATTTGAACCACTGATACTGGACTGGAGTTTTTCCCACTGCGTGGCAGCTGAGGCGTAGATTGCGTCCACATATTAGGGACACAGACTGAGGCTGAATGACGATCTGCAAAGCTACGGAGAGAAAAAGAAAGAGACGATTAATGGGAATTAATTTAAAGAAAGACTTTACAGGGATTATATTTAGTATTTTGTTTCATTTGCCATCAGAACTTTCATGGTTATCTGCTATCGATCCCAGCATCAGTACATATGTTTAAGAACATTTATCTCATTTCCTCCTATAAAAATGCCAGACTGAGTAAGTCTTCTTATCAGACATGTGTTTGCAATACTGTCCATAACTTGCTAGCTACTATATGAGACCTAAACTCCTCTTTAAGCTTAATGAAGACAGTAAAGAGAAACTGCACTGAAAGAAATAATGCAACCGTTTTTGGCATGTACTTAATCATATTTAGTTACTTTTACCCAATTGTTTCATGTTAGCAGGGTAGGACACAAAAAATTGTGAAAAAAGCGGATGCATTATTTTTTTCAGTGTGAATAGTATAAAGGGGAGGTCTTCAATAGGGGGTCCTCGACCCCTAGGAGGTCCACGGAGGTACTGCATGGGGGTCGCAAAAGTTTTGGCTGATTAGACTTTTTTCTTTTTTTCTTTTCATATTCCCCCCCTGCAATTTTTTCCACCAATTGAAATGTCTTTAAAAACACATTAACATGAATTCAGCACATTGTAGTAAACAGATAAATGGAGGCAGAAGATGTCTTTCAATCATCAATGCACACATTCAGAGACACACAGGAGCTCTTTCAAGCTGGGCACCGTTTCATTCACAACACCTGTTCCCTCAACCAGGAATCAGAATCGGAAATACTTTATTAATCCCAGGGCGAAATTAATTTCATTACATGACTCTATCTGTAATAGAGTGACTATAGGACCAGTTTGATATAACACAATTTCATACAATCTATATAATTAGGGGGTCCCCGCTCCATCTCGCCATCCGTTTGGGGGTCCAGGGCCTGGAAAACGTTGAAGACCCCTGGTATAAAGCAAACAGCTTTAAAAGTTAGGGAATATTTCTCAGTACCTGGTGGTTTGAGGCACTGCAGGGCGTCGAGGTTGCCTAGGGTCTGGAGGTAGTCCATCAGGTGACCCGTGGTACATCCTCGGTCTCCCATCAGCATCAGCAGCGACATGCTGGGGCTGCCGTCCACCGCCAGCACCTTCAGAGAACACATCTCCATGTCGTCCGAGCTGAGGAGAGCCAAGGTCTGATTGTTAATGATGCCTTATGAGGAGAAATAACAGAAAAAAAACTTTTATCTGCATTAAAATGCAACTCCGGCGAAAATTAACAGGATTTACAGCGGCTCATAAAAATGGCAGGTTTTGTGATCTGAAAAAACTGACCCCACTACAGATCATGTCAGATTTGTTTTAAGCGACATAAATTGTATTGTGTAATTCACTTTAGACACAAACAAGAACACACAAATTTAAATGACCAAGCTGCACACCTGTCTTATTTGAAAGTATTTCTTCATCCTGCCTTGCAAAGGTTCTCCAGATGTATCTGATTACACATCTTTCTCGTGTTTGCAGCTTTCATCATGTGGACAAAATGATTTTCTATGCAATGTATCCAAAACTTTAATTTTGTTTCAATAAAACCACTTTCTAGCTGATTTTGGAGTCACTGTGAAGCTGAAAAATAAAAACTACAGAGCATGAAGGTGCCACCACCATGCTTTACTGCAGTGTCTAATCTACCTCCACAACATTTTATGTTCAAAACGTGGTTTGTTAATGCATGATATATACATATCATAACTTTTCATTCTTTTTCAGACTTTTATTTCTTTGTAATTTTCCAAAAACTCACACGCAGTGTTTATCTGCACGTTTGTTTGTAGTTAAGGGAAATGTAAAGTGGTAATTTTCAACATACCTGACTTTAAAGCGCCTATCATTGCCCACGATCTCTCCAAGTTTTCGCCATCCTTTATTGCTGGATTTATCCAACACCTCACAGAGTTTCTTTACAATCGGCTCCTTTAACAGGTGGATCTTCGTAGATCTGTCCAAAGAGTCCGACATGCTGGCTCCAGGTAGCTCCCAGCTTTCTATGCGCTACTTTTAAACTTTACGATTCACATCGAAGCAGAAAGTTGAAGAAAAAAAAAAAAACTTCTCACACAGAAACGTTTGACTTCCTTCCTGGAACACAGCATAATGATACAGACCCGCCTCCCGCACCATGCGGGGGTTCCCCGCTTCAGCTGGTAGCTGCTGCCAAAGATCGTTTCTTCAGCGAGATGCAAAAGCGTATGCTTTTATTCGTTATTCCAAAATTCTTGTTAACTGGTTTACACATGAAATACAACATTATATTGAATCATATTCAATAGGAATCAAATACATGTCATGTTCAATAATATCGATGGTATAACGAAATTATTAACCCGGAATCGAGAGACTAAATGCAGAGGCGTAGCCAGAATTTTTTTATAAGGGTTGCCGAAAAGAGGATAGGCACCAGAACCTCACGCACAATCTATGCCGATCGAACTGGAAATTAATGAGCACAACATACATATTTTCTAAAAAGACAAACTATACTTTCCTACAGCCTTTCCTAACAAATAGACAAGTATATTTAAACATCTATGCTTCCTACATAAAAGGTATAATAAATACAATTCTTTCAGGTTTGGGTTCTGGGGAAAACATCTTTTCCATTGTCATTACTTTTATCAATAATTATTCTGCCAAAAATGTATATTTACATGTTCTAATATCTACACAAATTTATTATTTAATAAGTTTTTATTAAAATAGTTATCTATGATTTCACTGATGACTCCAATATGACTTGCAGAGGACTTCATTTTTTTGCCACATACAACTCAAAATGCGGGGGGAAATGGTAGGGGTGGCCACAGGGGTGGCTAATGATTGGCTAAGGGTGGACATGGCCACCCCTGGCCCCCCATCTAGCTCCGCCCCTGGTTAAATGCTCCTTACCTGTCATTAACTACCTAACAAGTGTGTCACGCTTAGTACCGACTTGCGATTTCTAAGTACTTATATGCAACTAATGGCCTGGCAAACTGAAGACTGTCACATACAGGCTGTTGAATGTTTTCATTCTTATTTTTTATTTATTTTAAATGTTTTTTTGTTAAATGTTTTTGGTCGGTCGTTAAGGAGGTATTGTTCACCGGCTGGAGCGGGTAGGTCCCTCGTTCCTCTGTGATGGGGTGGGGGGTTTGGTGATATCTGGAAGGGATCATGTCTAAGATTGAATTGTATGTTTTTGGAAGCTGGAATCTGAGTCCACCACCTCTGTTTAAAGTTGGTGCATCCGAAAGATAAAACCCCCAGACCAAATATGAGCAGAGTGGTATATGCTGTGAGGAATGCTCTGATCTTTATATTGGAGAAACCAAACAACCTCTCCACAGACGCATGGCCCAACACAGAAGAGCGGCCGCCTCTGGACAAGACTCCACAGTACACCTACACCTTGTGGACAAAGGACATTCTTTTGAGGACCAGAATGTCCATATTCTGGATAAAGAAAATAGGTGGTTTGAGAGGGGCGTGAAGGAAGCCATCTATGTTAAGAGAGAAAAACCAACTTTAAACAGAGGTGGTGGACTTAGATTCCAGCTTCCAAAAACATACAATTCAATCATAGACATGATCCCTTCCAGATATCACCAAACCCCCCTCCCCATCACAGAGGAACGAGGGACCTACCCGCTCCAGCCGGTAAACAATACCTCTTTAACGACCAACCCTTAACAATCATGGACAGGTTTCAGGTATTACAGGAGACAATCCCCCCCTTAATGACAATCCCCCCTTTAACGACCGACCCCTAGAATCATAGACAGGTTCAGATATTACAGGCTAACGATGGAACTAACGACCCATTCATCGGTTTCCATTGCATGTTTCCAAGCGATACAAGGCGTTGTCTATATAAGACTCAAACTCACTGCGGATCCAGACATTTGAATTGAGAAAGCTTCCTGGAGAGGTGGCGAAACGTCTTCAAATCTTGAAAACCATTTTTTGGTTTTCAAGATTTTGAATCTTGAAATTTTACGGAATTTCCTCTGAAATCTCACAGACAATATTGACTAAATTGTTCCCTAACAGGCATGTGAGCGGAAAACTACAACGTCTCTTGGGTTCAGTCGGTTCAGGTTACATTTTTGTTGCTTTTCACGCTCACCTGCTGGCTAAATATCTCTTTGCTGCTTTGGACTGAGAAGACTTAGGAAGGAATCTTTGATCTCACATTTCATATTAAAAATAAAAAAAATACAATTGTAACCCTGTAGGGACAATAATTAAGAATTCAGGTTAAAATACACATGTTTAAAATCCATACAGAAATCTAAGTAACAACCTTTTTAGTTACTAAATTAAACAAACAGTACGTTACGTAAAGGGATTGTTTTTGGAAACAGGATCAGTCATTTCAAAGTTAGACAAGAAGTAAATAAAAAAAAAATCTACAATTTGAAATAAAATAATTTAAATGCTTAGAAAAGATTTTGAAATAACAGTTTGAAATTCAATAAAAAACATCATTTAATTTTGAAGCACAAACTGAAAAATATCTCTGTTTAATCTGGTTTCTTGTTCGGTGGTATTTGGATTAACGCTGCTATGCCCACAGAGTAAGAGACCTTCATGTTGATGAGTCAAGTTTCCTAGTTGTTTATTGCTGGAAAGTTTATTTACAGCTGCACTTTTAAATGTTGACTTACGTCTTGTGTGTGTATGCAAAAAGCAGACATCAGTTTTCACTCACAACCTGGTCAGTAAAGGTTGTGTTTTGGCTGCTTGGAGATTCGAGGAAACACACCAGTGTCTACATGACCTGCTGACTAGAAGGATGCTTCACTGACCAAAAAAAAAATAAGAAAATAATATTGTCAGAAAAAAAAAAAGTTCTGTTGAGATGAAACCAAGTTTTTTTTAATTGATCAAGTATATTTTAACATACTACATACTACAAACAACATATATTTTTCATACTACATGTGCATCTTTCCATTCTATGTTATTACATAGTAAAAATAGTCTGAGATATTCCAGGTAATGAAAATAGAATAAATCAAAATTTACAAAAATACATTCCAAAATATTTTTATGAAGCAATACCTATGGTTTAACAGCTTGTAAAACCAACCACAGGATTAATTATCTGTTTATCAGTGTCTAAAATCCCAGTGGAGAACCTTGGGTACTCTTTATCTGAACAGTACTTCGGTTCTCATTGATGACACAATACTAACCAAAGGTTGGCTCTTGAAAAAATATGTGCACACAAAGAGGTCATGGTTTACTCAATGACGCTAAGGTGCGCTGCCAATCAAGCCCTCATCACCATTCCTCCACCACCTTCCTTCACACTTAAATTATGGTGCCTCATGACTTTGATCTGATCCGTACAAAGGATGCTGTCCTAGAAGCGCTGGCTTACCAACAAGCTCAGCTTCTACCTGAACTGTTCCCGAATGTGAATTCCTTGACTCAAAATCTTCTGGACAGTGTTGAGTTTGCTGATCTGTATCTACAGCAATCATTGGGCGAGAGGGCACACCCTGGACAGTTCTCATACTGTAGAGAAGATTAGAGATACCAATTAACCTACAAATCATGTTTATGGACTCTGGACTCCAGAGAATTCACACATGTATGGGGAGAGCAGAGGATGCCAACTTCATGCAGGAAAATCCCAGCCCAGGATTCCTACCAAGGACCTTCTGAGTGCAAGAAAACCCTGCAGACAACGGTGCTACCATGCAAGCCCAGACTTACGCTCACCGTCATCTAATCAAATAAATAACAAAAATAGAGAAAGGGTTTGGGACAGGCCTGTGCAACTAGAAATTATAAATAATGTCAAAAGAAAAATACTCTTATCAACTGTAAAACTGCACAATAGATCAAGTGATATTTAAACATTGATACAGTGTTCAGGGTTTTTTCCACAGTAAAGATAAGGAAGTAGCTCTCAAGCTATCTTACCTGAATTGTGACAAGGTTTCTTTGACAGAAGCAACTCATCATTACCCGACTTCTATTGACGTTGCTGCTTGGTGAGAGGTGGAGATAAAGGTAAACAAATCACACCAATGCATCGTGACAAAGCTATGCTGATGCAACTGCAATCTTAGAAAAAAAACTAATATCGCAGGAAATAAAAAATCTTAGGTAAATGAACACAAAATCGATATGAGGGGATTATATAAAGAAATGAGTGCAGAGATTAGACCAGGATTTGGCTTATTTATCGAGTTAAATGTTAAATATTTTATTATTTTCATAGATGCACCAATAATGTATTAAATCAATCTAAGGTGTCCATTTAAAAGCATGCAAAAAAAAACAGTAAGGTCAAAACATCAATCGAATTATAATTTCTATAAGCAATAGTTCTACGCTTTCAATCGGTTCTCCATGTCTTTATTATCATAACGTTTATGCTGATCTCTCTTTGTTCACATGGCAGGCTGCTTTACAACATTGACGAATATGGGCTATAAATAGGATACAAAGGTAATGATTAACTTTGACTCTAAATGAAAATCAGCTTGTCAGAGGTGGTATTAAACGTGCTGATCTGGTGACCTGAGCTTTATATGTGTTTCAATTAGAGTCTAAGTCAATAGTTTTATTAGAGCGCCTGATGTCCTGGGGTGACAGACGAATGGAAAATTACAGCTTAAAAAGGAGCAGGGTTCAAACGTGAAGAGAATGAGGAGGAACTGGTATGTTTAACTGTTGTAAGCACCTTTAAAACAACAGACAAACTCAAAACAGATTAAACAAAATGGCTTTACTCTTCAGATTTTAAATCTATAAAAAAAAACTACTTAAAAAAATTAACCCCTTTGAGGGTTAGGGTTAGGAAATGAGGAAAGGAAGGATAAAGAACTTGTGTAAGACGTATCCTGTGGCTGTGAAACTTCTTACACACTTTATTTTTTCTGAGTGCTTGCCAGCATTCATTAGAAACCGAAGCTGCACGCAGAGAAGAAAGCAGAAATCTATTTTCCGACGTGGAGCATGTGTAACATCATACCGCCTTTTTTACCGTTGATTTTGTTTTTGCCCTTCCCAGATCACAAAACAGAGACTGTTGTCAACATAAGAGAACTGTTGCACATTCAGACAGTTTGTGACGTGCATGAAAATAGTAAAAAATTTTAAATAT